TCACGCTCCGTACTCTCCCCACATGGCTCCGTGTGACTTTTGGCTATTTCCCAAGCTGAAAATGACGCTAAAAGGAACCCGATTTTAGTCGAGAGAAGACATCGGGCAGAATGCGACCGACCGGCTGATGGCCATTCCAAAAGATGCGTTCCAGCAGTGTTTCCAGCAATGGCAGGAACGCTGGGAGAAGTGTATACACTACCATGGAGACTACTTTGAAGGGGATTAGGGTTTTGTACCTCAAAATCAATAAATGTATTTTTGCCGACCAAAGGTCCGATACTTTTTGAACAGACCTCGTATACTGTTTTAAAATTGGTATTTGGTGGATTTTTGTTTTAACTAAAATTAAATGTCCAATTTAATTTGGGAATTTTATTAGGGAATATTTAGATTAGATTTTATAGGATGAATCATATTTTATAACGATGTTACTGCCGATAAGTCTTTGGACAGATACGGCAATTTTAAAAGGACAGTGGGAGAACTATTTTCGCATACATAGTGGCAATAAAATTTCATTTGCACCACTCTGCAGCAGTGTTGGTTACTGAACTGCCAGACTGACCGGTGATGTACTACTGTAATTGTAATAAATAATAAGTGGAAGAGTATGGAAGTATGATCAATTTACGTCATTAAATGACACTTATTTGTCAAGTTTATCAACTGAGTTACTGTTATGATCTACTACTTGGCGCAGTGGCGTAGCCTGGATGTCATACCTAAATAAGGGGTGGAGGAAAATTTCTCCGCATCCTTATTCAGGTATCTCAATTTAAAAGACTAAAATACAGTTTCGTCACAGAATAAGTAATGAAAAATACCGTGCTCATTTCAATCGGTCCGAATCGTAGGTGCAACAAAAATATGAAATGAAATGGTTCAAATTTTTACAAGATATTATTATTTATTGTGAAATTTTGCCACCCCCTAAAAGTGCTGCCTGGGGTGGGCCGCTCCCACTACACTATGCCACTGACATGGCGCCTCATTTTGTAAATCAAAATGTCAGTTGAACTGCTTGCATAGCTCTCAAGTTAGACAATATTTTTTACTGAGAAATGAAAATTGAAATTTAACCAAGAAATGTAATGACAAAATAGTAATGTGAGAAAGTCCATAGTTAAGGCTAAACCCCTTATGGTTCAATTTTGCACTCACATAATTAAAAATAAATTAAGTCACATTATCTACAAATCAAAATAAAATGGGATAAATTCTCAAGAACAAATTATTCTCCATTACTTCGTTACAATATGATAAAATGATTCATAAAGAATTCAACTCCTCAGATTTTTCAGAACATTAACCCAATTGTTTGCCATCCATGAAAACACAAATCTATGTACCAAGTGTAAAACTTAAAAATGTGTAATTGGCAATTTTAAATTTCACAACAAAAACAAATATTTAGATATTGTAACAGAAAAAAAATCAATTTGTTGTTTTTTACCTGACTGAAACAATATCAAACTTCCACCAATAAAGAATTGTTCGCCTAGAGTTAGTAATGCACACACAGGATATTTGATTGTCTACTGTAAAATTAATATATAGTACAATCAACTATCAATGTAACACCCTCCTGGTTAACATATCCTCCCCATAAATATTAAATAGAGAATCCTTTAGCATCTGTTACAAACAGTGGCGTACCGTAGTGGGGGCGGCCCNAATGTAACACCCTCCTGGTTAACATATCCTCCCCATAAATATTAAATAGAGAATCCTTTAGCATCTGTTACAAACAGTGGCGTACCGTAGTGGGGGCGGCCCACCCCGGGCGGCACTTTTTAGGGACGGCAAAATTTCACAATAAATAATAATAATATCTTGTAAAAATTTGAAACATCGTAATCTATACTTGCATCGCGCCTAGGATAGTGCTATCGTCCGGACAGTCTGGGAATCGGTAATTTTTTCATCCTAGGAAATCCTGCGAAACCTGTTGACCTTTTTTTCGTTTTGCTTGTACGATTCATTCGCGTTCATATACACCACTAATATCCAATAGAACTATTTTAAACAAGTCACTGCACTACTACCGAATTTTTCATTGCCTGTTCTGCGATAAAACTGAATTTTGGTCTTTTAAATTGAAATACCTAAATAAGGGGGGCCGAAATTTTCCTCCGCTCCGGGCGGCTGACACCCACGGTACGGCACTGGTTACAAATCTCATAATCATCAAAGCACAATTTTCAAATTCTCAAATTAAAATTTATGTGCACTTTATTACTGTATAAAATTCTTGTTTGAGGTACTTCAGTTTGGCACCATACTTGATTTAGTACTGATTTTAGATGCAAACAAATGGTGGCAATAAATTGAAAATTGAAAAGTTGAGTGCACCATTAAAAGTGTTACATCAGGAAGGAAAGCAAATAGCAGAATCATATTTATTGTATATATACAGTATAATGGGAGAAAGCATGATTAAACTGACATAATTTTGAGGTACAGAGTACACAGAAATCAGTACCCAGAGCAGCTGATGACCCCTGGCAGCAATAACAGCTGTAATTCAGCTGGGGATACAGTTGAACAGAGTCTGGATGGCAGGTACGGGTACAGCAGTCCATGAGGCTTCAACTCTGTGCCAGAGTTCATCTATCATACTGGCTGGCGAGTAGTGGTGTGCCAGTTTCTCAGCAACCATTGACCAGACATTCTCAATTGGTGACAGATCTGAAGAATGTGTTGGCCTGGGCAACAGTCAAACACCTTCTGTATTCAGAAAGGTCAGGACAACATGCAGTCATCATTGTCCTTTAAAAGGTAGCGAGACAGAGGCCTCAAAGATAGAGCACAGTGACAGGCCTTAACACATCAGAAATATAATGGCAGCTGTCCAAACTATTGGCTATGCAACAAGAGATAACCAGGATGGATACCCAATGGCACCCATACCATCACTCCAGATGCTGGGCCCGCATGACAATGACAAATGCAACCTGGCAATGATCATTTCCCTCAGTGCCTCCACACACAGATACAGCCATCATGATGCTGTATGCAGAACTGGGATTTGTCTGAAAAGATGAGGTGACACTACTCCTGCATCCATATTTGTTGTTGAATGTACTACTGTAGACACCTGTCTCTGCTGCAGTGTCAAGGAAAGCCACAGCATGGTGCTGCAGACATCATCGCACTTTCCATGCAGACACTTGTTGTTCTGAAAAAATGACCCAAATTCCTGACTCAGGGTATGTGATGTGGCTGTACAATCCCACAAAGGCCACATGGACATGATGTCCTTTTGGGCATTAGTGACCAGGGCCTGTGAGATTCCGCATGGCATTCTGTATGGCCATCCTGGATCCATCAATTCTATATTCTCATGACCAACATGAGCAGCAATAGCGCAAAATGATAAACTGCAGTCCTGGTACCATTCTACCATGGTCATACCATGTGTGCTGATCGGTGTTCCTCGTTCTTACATAAGGCATAACAAAATCTTTACACAAGCAACCGTGTGAATGTGATTTCCATGCAAGAAACCCACTTTATAATCTTTCCTTTTATACAGATTGTAGATGGCCTTACTCCTACCTGCTTTGTGAGCATGCATTGAAATGCTAATCATTTGCATGTTGTACCATTCATGCAAATTTTGTGATTGCTGCATACTGCCTTCATGGTGTAACAATTTTAATGGCCAGTCATGCTAAATAAAATATTTAAAAAGGTTTACTTAAATAACTTAGCTATATAATTAATTTGTTTATTAGTTAAATCATTACATAAATCCAAATTTTTAAACTTACAAATTAAATATTAAATTCATTGGTTTAACTGCAGATATCTGTATGCAGTGTGGTGCACACATGCTTAGATATTTATTTATGAATTTACCTAAGATAAATAATAAAAATTTAAGATATCAAACATGTTACTAAACTTCCTTTTTATGTAAAATAATTTTCTCTTTATATGTACAATACAACTTTATATCAGTATATCAACATTAATGTGTTTATATACACAAATAATAACATTTTAATGTGAATATATAAATATATATTCAAAAATATTTAGTGTATATTGTATAAAATTGATCTTATTTGTTTTATCATTAATAACAAATAAATTTTGCAAGATCAATTTTGTTTTCATTGCCAAATGCAAGTAATTTTTTTCAAATTACTATTATTGGAATAATCATTTACAAATAAAATTTTTTGAAATAAAATTTATTCTGACATAATTTTCATAAATCATAAAAAACGTTATGAAATCAAAATAAATACTGTATAAATATTTACAAGTCTTAAAATTTTTAAAATCTATCCTCCAACTCTTTCTTGAGATAGTTGTTCTATGTGATATATTTTGCCCAGAACTAGATATTGTCTTGCAATTTTAAAAAGTGTCAAGAAATTCAAAAGTAATAACAGAGCAATTGATATGATGTGGTTCCATTCATAGGATCGAATCAAAACCACTAACTGGATTCCTACCAATGTTATTTGAAGACCTAGTAGACTACTTAATGCTCCCATTGGATTGCTAAAAATAGCCTAAAATAAAATTTAAAAAATCTTAAATTAGATTTATAAAAGAATAATTATTTTAATAGGTTTAGAATAATAATTAAAAAAAATCTTTAACAATGATACAGGGTGGGGCATAATGGAGTCCCACATTTACAAGGTGAATTTTAAAAAACGGTACAACAGTACAGAGTTTTAAAATTCACCTTGTAAATGTGGGACTCCATTATGTCCCACCCTGTATATAATAAACAAAAATGCTAAAAAAGTTTGTTTTTAATCAAATAATAATCAATTATGATATAACTACATCCAAAATTTATGAATTGTGTTTTAATAATATATCCTAATACTTTAAGTTCTTCATTTTTCCAGATATAAATATTTAATTAAAATCCAACAAAATAAAATAATTAAAAACTAGTATTAAACAAAAATTTAATAAAATCATTGAAGTAAAATATTCAAATTTAACAAATTTAACTTACATAAAATCTTGTATGAGTTAAATTGCCTGGTTCAGCAGCATTACTAATACCTTCTGCTCGAAACAGTTCTTTAGTATATTTAACAAGAGCTCCTTGATGCCATATTGTGGAATCTGACCATCTAACAATTAAATAATTTATATTTAATTGAAATGGAAATAATTCTACAAAGAAATATCTTTACAAAATTATTTTAATATACTGCTATGTTTTTAAAAAATTAAAACAAACAGAAAACATACCTTTGTTTTTTCCAGCAGTTTGGAATGATTTTTCCACACAGCTTTGGCTTTCTTGAGAAAGCCTTTTTCAGGTTATCTTCTAGTTAGAATACTGATGTTTCAATTTTTAAAGCTTATGGATTCTATTCTTGGAATGTTTATGAAATGTTTTTGTCTTCTTTCAGGTGGCATCAGAGTGCATGCACTAGGTTTCATCATGTTGGTGGTTGTTGGGCTTCTTTCTTAGGATTTGTTGTATGATTGCTGGGCCATTGATCCTGTTATAGTTGCTTTGAAGATTTCTAATTTTTCTGAAGTCCTTAATGTTCTTCAAATGCTGGTTTTAAGAGAGTGGCATTGTTAACGTCTACAGATACCCCTTGCTATTTTAATTGTTGATAAAAAAAAATAGCTTATTTGATTCCGAAAATGGACAATAGGTTTAACTGACAACTAAAATATATAGAATCAACAAGCAGACCACTTCCTCAAAGGATCAGAAAACACCAGCATGGGGTCAGAACAAGAAAAACAAACCATCTTCACAAAATATGCCAATGAGGCAGGAGTATCTGTAGATTTTAACAATGCCATCCACTTAAAACCAGCATTTGAAGAATACTGAATAAGAGTTTTAGAAAAATTAGAAATCTTCAAAGCAACTATAACAGGTTGATGCATTAATTAAAGAATCAGTGAATCACTACCAGTAATCTGACAATCATACAACAACCCCTAAGAAAGAAGCTCAACGATCACTATGATGATGAAACCTAGCACATGCACTCCAAAGCCACAAAAGAAAGAAAAACGCCATAAATGTTCCGAAATTAGAATTGGTAACAAACTTCAAAAATTGAAACACTGATGTACTATAAGATAACCTGAAAAAGGCTTCTCAAGAAGCTGAAAATATAAAATCATTCCAAACTGCTAGAAAAGCAAGTAAAATGTGTTTTCTGTTTGTATTACCTATTCTAGTTTGAATCATATACGAGGAGTGTTTTTTAAGTACCGTTTTGATATAAAAAAAAACACAACTGCATTTTTAAAAATAATTTTATTCTTACACGAAAGCCTGTACTTTAATCTACTTTTCAACATAATTTCCTCCAATATGAAGGCACTTTTCATATTGTACAACTAGCTTCTGAATTCTGTCCTCATAGACACCTGCCATCTGATTTGCCAACCACTGCAGCATGGTGTTTTGACTTTGTCGTTGTAGCGCTGACTGCCCAGATGCCTTTTTCAAGTGGAGGAACAAGTGGTAGTCACTAGTCGCTAGATCAGGGCTTTACATAGGGTGATCAAGTTGTTCCCAGCCATATGATGTGATAAGATTTTGAGTTCGTTGAGCCACATATGGACAGGCACTGTCATGAAGCAAAACATTCCTCTTACTGAGCTTGCCATGCATTTTGTTTTGAATGACAAAATTGTAAAGTGTCCGTTTTCTCGAACTTTAGCAACAACTTTCTGCACCAAGTCTTCAGTAATGACAGACGGTCGCCACTACGCTCCTCATCATAGATATTAATATCACTATCTTTAAATACTTTAACCAATTTTCTTACCATTCTGTTGCTCATATTGTTTTTTCTATACACCTCACTAATCTGCCAATGAATGTCAGTTGCTTTCACATCTTTTACATTAAAAAAACGAATCACCGTGTGTACTTCACAATCGGCATGATTTTCAATGTTTGAGGCATTTTAAACACACACAAACAAATGTAAAATGAACAAATGTTTCTATAATTGCTTCTGTGGCTAGCCAATAGATGTAGGTACTTATCGCACATTCGTGGAACACCAACCATAGCACTACAGCAGTCCTATTTTAAAACGGTACTTACTTAAAAAACACACCTCGTACTTACTAGTATATTAAAATATTTGGTTTCTGGTATAATTTGTTGTCATTATTTTAAGATTTGATTTATTAAACTTAAATAATTATATACGTTTGTTTATGAAATTATAAAATTAAGTACAGTGGGTGATTGGTTAATAAACATAATCTGTTACAAGACTTTGTTTGCTATCTGAATTGTTCGTTAACCAATTATCAATTTACCATACATTTGTATCGGAATTTGATTAATTTGTTCTGGAGACCCCAAAAATAAAAAAAATATATACTTTCTTACTACGTTCATTTATATGTAATAATAAAAATACATATATACGCAGTCTTGCATTTTTATTAGTTGTGTTTTTTTGTTTGTGGGGTTAAAGAATCTGTCTAATGTCGATTGCTTTTCTCTCTTCTTCAGGATTTTCATAAGTAATTAATAGCATTGTAATTGTAGTGATCCCCAAGCCTATTAACCTCAACCTGGTTTGTATGCCATTCTAAGACCGTTGATCTGACATCCCCCACTTCTTCAAAAGATCTTTAATTAATAGCAGATATTTTCATAATAAAACATATCTTGTTGAGTTTCTTGGTGTTCTTCATTCAAGAGTTCTTGGCGTTCTTCTGTTGTCAGATCCATTTCAGGTTCCATTATAAGCTCTTCAATGTTCTTTATTTCTCAGAAGTGATTTTCGTTACTCCTTTAGCTGATTGAGTCTTCTTGATTATACTGTATCTTTCTTAGATAAGATTGAACTGTGCCCTACTGTAGTTTTGTTCAAGCCATACTGCCCAGCAACATCAGACATCGTCTGCACACTCTCTACCTTTGCTATTTTACCTTTCGAAAATAAAACTCCACGCAAAACTTAACAAGTGCCCGCCCAACAGTCTCGCGAATCTATAAAAGAATTGTTTCTGTCAGAAAAATAAAAGGCTGGAATTACAAGGGAGAGTTTCAAAGTTCAGAGAAATGCTATTTGATGAGTATATTCCAGGTTGAGCGTCTATGTCAACGTCTCCAGCACTCCAAAAAGCTTTGAATTGTTGCCTGAAGACAAGGGAAAATCAATCAGTATTTGCTATTTTCGTCATTTCTTTTTATGTTTGTTCATGAAGTGTTTGTTATCCATCATAAAAATCTTTTGCGAAAGTGTTTGTTATCCGATTTGTTCGTTAACCGATCACCCACTATTATTCATCAATATTTAAAAAAAAAATAATCTCAGCATAAACAACCACTCACCACACTAGGCTATAGTTAATCATGTACTCTGAACCAATTACAGTGTGTAGATAATGAAAGCAAACAAAAATGAATGTTTTTGAACCCCTTCCAAGTTCTTCATCAGGTCTTTTTAATGATTCCTCTATGGTTCTTCGTTTTGGAATAAAATTCAAACAAGAGTTTGAATATAAGTTTGAAAAAATCATTAAAGCCACATTGCACCTGCACAAAGAGTAACCTTACCGGAACTCAACGAACAGCTAAACCATGTTGTCAATCAATTCTTGCCAGGCCATTGATAAAACCATTTCCTTTTTATAATTTATGCATGTAGATGTAAAACTTTAACCAGGCCAAGCTCATCCTTGCTACGCCCCCCACAGAACATCTCAGATGGTTGGAGACTATGCACATTTTAAAATCCAGTTTTACATCTACATGCATATATTATAAAGAGGAAATGGTTTTGTCAATGGCCTGGCATGAATTGATCGACAACACAGTTTAGCAGTTCGTTGAGTCCTGGTGGATAACTCTTTGCGCAGGCACGACATGGCTTCAATAATTTTTTTGAACTTATATTCAAACTCTTGTTTGAATTTTATTCCAAAACAAAGAACCACTGAGAAATCATTAAAAAACCTGATGAAGAACTCAGAAGGAGTTCAAAAAGTTTAATTTTTGTTTGTTTTCGTTATCTACACACCGTAATTGGTTCAGAGTACGTGATTAATCTCAGCATAATTTTAATTATGCTAAGAAGAATTACAAAACTATTCATAACTAGAAAAATTTCTTTTTACTGAAATACAATCTTTAAATACTAGAATATTTAAAAATATTGATTAAATTATTTCTTTAAAAACTTTTATAATAAAAATGGTAGATCAAATCTATCATAATATAATAATAAACACTCTCATATAAAAAATTTTTACAGTAAAATTTAATTTCATATAACTCACACATTATATGGAATTAATGTGTTTCTCATCTCTACTTTTTGCCACCGTCCTAAGTGTAATGCTGCCCTATGTAAAGTATCACAATAACGTGGAGGAAAACAAAACACAATGTACATGGTAAAGCTGCTTAACCAAACAAATCCTACATGCTGGGCTACCCAAGTGAGATCATAATAAAGTGTGTTCTGAAAAACATTAAGTTCATTATTACAATAACTACAATATTAACAAACTTGCTTTTGATTGTAATCACTTGATTATTTATATTTAATTATCTTAAATTATAAATATAAAATCCATCTAATAAACAAAGCGTTGACAAATATATCACATTAACCTTAAAATACTTTGCATATATTTTTTAATGTATCATAAATGTTTTCAGTCCACCCTAGGACCTGCTTCAGGTAGAGTTCTACTAGAAAAAACCCTTTTCTGGTGTGATTCTGTTTCCAGAAAGGAAACTGAATAGAATGGAATGGCAGCAGATATGATACTAAGGTATACTGAAAACCAAGCACCATCCCAATATGCATCCCAGCCAGCTGTAACGATCCATATGACTATAAAACGGCAGCCTTTAGAGCACTTACCAGAAGAGCCCACATGCACTGTAATAAGGAATAAGACAAGTGGAGGAAATAAAAAGAATAGCAGAAGTTGCTGAAAGCCATGGCTATAATAAAAAGTTAATGTATAGATTGGTGGAGAAGCAAAAAACTGACTCGAGGATCAATTGAGTGAGGCTCCAGAAAATAGTACGTAGTGGGATGCATCTCCCCATCATATTACTATAATGTATAAGCACCATATGCAGTCCCTATACTGAGAGATTGGGACTTATACTAATTCAAAAATAGCCTACAGGCGTATGCCGGATGTATTCGGCATGCTAAGGAATGAGAAAGATCGACAGACATTCAAAGTGTGCTGGAAGTATATAAAATTCCACTCAAAGATAACAGATTCAAAGAGATCTTTTTTCTATATTGGACCTATAAGATCACTCAAACAACGCCTACGTGAGCATAAAACCGATATTGAAAAGAAGAAAAACACTACCGCCTTAGCTACATATGCCAGTGAAAACGGCATTACACCTGAATTACAACAAGTGACCATGATCTGGCAACTGACTCATCATATACACCAACTTAGGAATTTAGAGGCATTAGAAATTTTTAAAGCAGAATGCCAGGGTCTTTCAATCAATTTTGAAGACTAAAAACAACTCTTGAGGGCATAGCAGGCTAGGTATGAACTGGCATTGCAACAGTCAATGCAGGCGCACATCACTAGAAATTTAAAATTTAAAAAGAAAATTCGAACACATCAGAAACAGAATAGAACAAAATTGCACCAGAAAAGGGTTTTCTCTAGTGGAACACCACCTGAAAAAGGTCCTAGGATAGACCAAAAACATTTGTGATACGTTAAAAGATATCTGCAAAGCATTTTAAAGTTAGTGTGATATATACAGTAGACACCCCTATAATGCAGGTTCCTATAATGTAGATTCCTACAACAAGGCGAAAAAATTGTGACAGTATTCGTATAAAAATGCTAAAAGTAACGCGTAAAACGCCATCGTAGACGAGCAGCTGAACTACTTTCTGCCGTCCAGCGCCACACTACAGATAGTTTAGGCGGGTAAGTTGAGTTTACTATCGTCTGTACAGTATTATATATAAATTATATATAAATTAGGTACTGTATATATAATTATATATTAACTTAATTTATTGTAACTTTATTATAATTATATATATACTTTCCGCCGTCCAGCGCCACGCTACGGAGAGTTTAGGCGAGTAAGTTGAGTTTACTATCGTCTGTACAGTATGTAAATTAGGTACCGTAAGTCTAATACAGCACTGTAATTTTATACATTTCTTGTGAAAGAAACATTTCTTATTCAACGGCCATAAAAATTATTTCTATTAATAATTAATGATGTCTCCAAAGTGCAACAAATTTTTCGCAGAAAAATATCAGAAATCACGGCCGCAGTTTGGTGCACTGCTCCGCGATGAACACAAGCTTAAGCAATGGCGACGTCGAATGGTGCACACTCAGTAAGTAATCCTACAGTTTTTTTGTTTATAGTATAGTTTATACGGATTATTCCCAAAAAATTATACGTATTTTGGAAATGTTAAGTCAAATTAGTCTAGAATCGATTAATTTTATGGAAGAAAACCTTTCAAACAGCCGTAGTCCGTAAACTTCACACGTGTCAGGCTGCGATTGGTTCATGTATTTAAGAATTCCTACAACACGAAAGTCATATAACGAGGAACGTATCTCCGCGTTATAGGGGTCTACTGTATTTAAATTATAAATAGTTTTAAATAAGAGAGGGAGGCCAATTTAATAAATACATATAAATACATTTTGTATATTAACTGAATAAAATTATCTAATATAAACCTGTATACTATAATATACAATTTAATATAAAATAGATTATATAACAACTTTTTAAGTACATTTCAGATTTAAGAAAAGATGTTTCTGATCGAAACTTGGCAGAATTTTAATCATTACCATTTAATTTATAAATAATAGTAACAAAAAATGTAAATTATTTACTTTATTTAACTGTAAATTAAATAAAATTGATAAAATTAATTATAAAATTCTAATGGCTATAACTTTTATATAAAATAGCTTGTAATTATTTAAAACTATTTGATTTATCTGTATAACTAAGAAATATCATACATGTTAATTCATAATTTTTTCAATAATCTTAGATTTCATTTATATTTAATCAAAGTTCACATTATAAAATAGAATTAACACTATATCATTATGAAATACGGATCATGTAATTTTTGAAAATATAAATTTGCAAAAGTATTCTGCTTATATTTTACATCCAAGATAAGTTATTGAATTTGAACATATCTGATTTTGAGATCTGATGATAAATACTTAGATCTAATATAATTAAACATTATATATTCATTAACACTTTCTAAACATTTTTAAAATTTAAATTTAATAAAATTGTTCTGTTAAAAATTAGTGAGAGAGATTAATTTATATCATCATCAAGTCAAAATTTTTCAAAATAATTTTTGACAATAAATATGAAAACTCCAGTTTGTCTGAAGATATAAACAGTCACTGGAAACTAATTAATTTCTACAAGGTATTTTTTAGACAAAATTACCTGAGTATCTTTAATTTAGATACTCAGGTAATTTTGAGTTTTCAATGTGACTGGAAATTTTTAATGCATTAGTATTTTATTCATAGAAATTGTTTGAGAAAAATTTGAAATTACAAACAGGGCTGTATTGATGAACGAGGCAGAGGGGCAGCTGTCTCAGGCACAAAATTGGAAAGGATACTAAAAGTGCATCATAATGTTTACAGAAATATAGGTAAACTGACACTGTCCTTAGTCTTTCCTCAAGCATCAAAATTAATTGAAATGGTCATTATGACAATGATTATAATTTAATCTCTTTCAGAAAATTTAAGAAAATAATATACTCTAGTAACATTCATATTATAAGATTATAAGAATGTCATATTTATTTTTAGAAATAATACTATTTATCAATTTAATTGCTGAATAAATATATTAATTATATATTAAAATTCATAATTAACTAGTAGATTAAATTACCTGAACAAAACAACATGGAACGAATCCACAATAATACGCAACAGAAAGAGAGTTAAACAAGACTTGTTTTAATCGTCCATTGAAATCTGTTTTTAACATTTCAACTTCCTCTCTAATCACTTCAGCAGAAACAGAACAAACATGATTCATAAGTAAAATGCCACTCTTTGCCAAGGCAGCTCGACTTTTAGGACTCATTGCTCGTTCTTGAGAGGATGATTGCAATTCAAATAAAGGAAGAATAGTGGGACCAAACAGAATTAAATAAACAATTACTCTGAAAATATTCAAAACAAAATAATAAATTTGAAATATTTAAAAATAAATATGAAAGTAATTATTTAAAGATCAATGAAGTGTTTTAAAAATTATAATTTTGTTAAATTTGAATTAAAACAGTTTAATAGATATTCTGAGATTCCAAAAATATCGTTTAATTAATAAATTATAAAATATTTGTTGATAAGTCTAACACTGTATTTGACTAAATGGTCTAATTAACATAAAATTGTTTTATATTCATTTAAAAAAAAATATTTATAGCCATAATGTTTCTACTTGAATTCCTATTAAACAAATAAATAAAAAGAACTTTTTATTTGTAGTATTAGTCATTTTAATTTATTTACATCATTCAAAAATACATTGAATCTTTATTTTTAACTTACAATAATTCAATAATATTCAGATTTAATTTATCGATAAGAAAAAGAAAAACGTAATAAAATCAATTAAAAAAGGAATTTTTTTTTTTATTACAATAAATTATTATTTTAACACTGATAAGAATGACTGACAATGGTAGGCTAAAATAACAAAACTCTTAATATAGTTTTCATTTTAATGTTTGTTGTTCTTACTTTTTGTCCAAACGGCACAAGGTATATCAGCTAGTTTAAAATACAGGTATCCCTCATATAACACAGTTTGAGAATTGCTAAAATCAACCACACAACACACTACCAAAATTGCTCTAATGCAATTCAAGCATTGGTGACGTCCCCATACAAAACATCACAATTTTTAAGTGCAAACATGTCATTTGATATTTTGTTTTATTCAAGTAACAATGTGTGTTGTCTCATATTAGCCCATGGATTTTAGAATATTGAAATTTTCAATGTTGTTTCATACTTTTTGCCTAGTTTTCTTTAATGAAAACCGATTGTACAATTTTTTTCTTCCTTGTCCTAGCTTCCTATAAAGCAGATGTCACTGTCATTGATGACAGTGCCCTAAATCAGTGTTTTTCAACTGCCACTCTGCAAAAAAATTTCACCAGGCTACAGAAAAATATTTGATCATACTGAAGCTAGGGTAGTTGATTATGGGTGACATTTAAATAGCAATCTAGAGTTACTGTATATACTTTATTATGTATAGTAACTCTAGATAAACATAAGCTTAATAAATAAGCATAATTCATAGTTGATTATAATTACTTGACCAGTAAAATTATTTATAATTTTACTGGTCAAGTAATTATAATCAACTATGAATTATGCTTATTTATTAAGCTTATGTTTATCTAGAGTTACTATACATAATAAAGTATATACAGTAACTCTAGATTGCTATTTAAATGTCACCCATAATCAACTACCCTAGCTTCAGTATGATCAAATATTTTTCTGTAGCCTGGTGAAATTTTTTTGCAGAGTGGCAGTTGAAAAACACTGATTTAGGGCACTGTCATCAATGACAGTGACATCTGCTTTATAGGAAGCTAGGACAAGGAAGAAAAAAATTGTACAATCGGTTTTCATTAAAGAAAACTAGGCAAAAAGTATGAAACAACATTGAAAATTTCAATATTCTAAAATCCATGGGCTAATATGAGACAACACACATTGTTACTTGAATAAAACAAAATATCAAATGACATGTTTGCACTTAAAAATTGTGATGTTTTGTATGGGGACGTCACCAATGCTTGAATTGCATTAGAGCAATTTTGGTAGTGTGTTGTGTGGTTGATTTTAGCAATTCTCAAACTGTGTTATATGAGGGATACCTGTATTTTAAACTAGCTGATATACCTTGTGCCGTTTGGACAAAAAGTAAGAACAACAAACATTAAAATGAAAACTATATTAAGAGTTTTGTTATTTTAGCCTACCATTGTCAGTCATTCTTATCAGTGTTAAAATAATAATTTATTGTAATAAAAAAAAAATTCCTTTTTTAATTGATTTTATTACGTTTTTCTTTTTCTTATCGATAAATTAAATCTGAATATTATTGAATTATTGTAAGTTAAAAATAAAGATTCAATGTATTTTTGAATGATGTAAATAAATTAAAATGACTAATACTACAAATAAAAAGTTCTTTTTATTTATTTGTTTAATAGGAATTCAAGTAGAAACATTATGGCTATAAATATTTTTTTTTAAATGAATATAAAACAATTTTATGTTAATTAGACCATTTAGTCAAATACAGTGTTAGACTTATCAACAAATATTTTATAATTTATTAATTAAACGATATTTTTGGAATCTCAGAATATCTATTAAACTGTTTTAATTCAAATTTAACAAAATTATAATTTTTAAAACACTTCATTGATCTTTAAATAATTACTTTCATATTTATTTTTAAATATTTCAAATTTATTATTTTGTTTTGAATATTTTCAGAGTAATTGTTTATTTAATTCTGTTTGGTCCCACTATTCTTCCTTTATTTGAATTGCAATCATCCTCTCAAGAACGAGCAATGAGTCCTAAAAGTCGAGCTGCCTTGGCAAAGAGTGGCATTTTACTTATGAATCATGTTTGTTCTGTTTCTGCTGAAGTGATTAGAGAGGAAGTTGAAATGTTAAAAACAGATTTCAATGGACGATTAAAACAAGTCTTGTTTAACTCTCTTTCTGTTGCGTATTATTGTGGATTCGTTCCATGTTGTTTTGTTCAGGTAATTTAATCTACTAGTTAATTATGAATTTTAATATATAATTAATATATTTATTCAGCAATTAAATTGATAAATAGTATTATTTCTAAAAATAAATATGACATTCTTATAATCTTATAATATGAATGTTACTAGAGTATATTATTTTCTTAAATTTTCTGAAAGAGATTAAATTATAATCATTGTCATAATGACCATTTCAATTAATTTTGATGCTTGAGGAAAGACTAAGGACAGTGTCAGTTTACCTATATTTCTGTAAACATTATGATGCACTTTTAGTATCCTTTCCAATTTTGTGCCTGAGACAGCTGCCCCTCTGCCTCGTTCATCAATACAGCCCTGTTTGTAATTTCAAATTTTTCTCAAACAATTTCTATGAATAAAATACTAATGCATTAAAAATTTCCAGTCACATTGAAAACTCAAAATTACCTGAGTATCTAAATTAAAGATACTCAGGTAATTTTGTCTAAAAAATACCTTGTAGAAATTAATTAGTTTCCAGTGACTGTTTATATCTTCAGACAAACTGGAGTTTTCATATTTATTGTCAAAAATTATTTTGAAAAATTTTGACTTGATGATGATATAAATTAATCTCTCTCACTAATTTTTAACAGAACAATTTTATTAAATTTAAATTTTAAAAATGTTTAGAAAGTGTTAATGAATATATAATGTTTAATTATATTAGATCTAAGTATTTATCATCAGATCTCAAAATCAGATATGTTCAAATTCAATAACTTATCTTGGATGTAAAATATAAGCAGAATACTTTTGCAAATTTATATTTTCAAAAATTACATGATCCGTATTTCATAATGATATAGTGTTAATTCTATTTTATAATGTGAACTTTGATTAAATATAAATGAAATCTAAGATTATTGAAAAAATTATGAATTAACATGTATGATATTTCTTAGTTATACAGATAAATCAAATAGTTTTAAATAATTACAAGCTATTTTATATAAAAGTTATAGCCATTAGAATTTTATAATTAATTTTATCAATTTTATTTAATTTACAGTTAAATAAAGTAAATAATTTACATTTTTTGTTACTATTATTTATAAATTAAATGGTAATGATTAAAATTCTGCCAAGTTTCGATCAGAAACATCTTTTCTTAAATCTGAAATGTACTTAAAAAGTTGTTATATAATCTATTTTATATTAAATTGTATATTATAGTATACAGGTTTATATTAGATAATTTTATTCAGTTAATATACAAAATGTATTTATATGTATTTATTAAATTGGCCTCCCTCTCTTATTTAAAACTATTTATAATTTAAATACAGTAGACCCCTATAACGCGGAGATACGTTCCTCGTTATATGACTTTCGTGTTGTAGGAATTCTTAAATACATGAACCAATCGCAGCCTGACACGTGTGAAGTTTACGGACTACGGCTGTTTGAAAGGTTTTCTTCCATAAAATTAATCGATTCTAGACTAATTTGACTTAACATTTCCAAAATACGTATAATTTTTTGGGAATAATCCGTATAAACTATACTATAAACAAAAAAACTGTAGGATTACTTACTGAGTGTGCACCATTCGACGTCGCCATTGCTTAAGCTTGTGTTCATCGCGGAGCAGTGCACCAAACTGCGGCCGTGATTTCTGATATTTTTCTGCGAAAAATTTGTTGCACTTTGGAGACATCATTAATTATTAATAGAAATAATTTTTATGGCCGTTGAATAAGAAATGTTTCTTTCACAAGAAATGTATAAAATTAGTGCTGTATTAGACTTACGGTACCTAATTTACATACTGTACAGACGATAATAAACTCAACTTACTAGCCTAAAATCTCCGTAGCGTGTTGCCAGGCGGCAGAAAGCATATATATAATTATAATAAAGTTACAATAAATTAAGTTAATATATAATTATATATACAGTACCTAATTTATATATAAT